GATAAACAAAAGCTTGGGGGGAGGGGGGGAAACGTTTGTCGTCCCTCGCATCCTTGGGATGTTTTCCCAATTTGGATGGCTTATCGACTGTCAGATGCACAAACCCTGCAGGCGCCGGCGCTTAATTTCTACCAGGGGTGGCGCAGCTATTTTTAGATTTATCGTTGGGGTAGCGTCGTACTACTATGGAAGTACACTAGGTACATGACTGCATGGACTAGCCCTTTCGCTAGCAGGGAGGGGCCCTTAACCATGTCAAATCAGGGCGACACCACTTGGAAGATGATGCCGCACTTCTGATTGACACCGGTTGAAAAAGCGAAAAAAAGGAAGCGAATGTATACTAGAGAGGGTAGGAACATAAGAGGGGAAAGAAAAACCCACAGAACAAGGACGCACCTCTGAGACATGAGTCCTACACCGACTTGACAGACAGTGACGCGTACCTCACTTTGATTCTGAAATTGTCTTCTGGAAAATTGATTATTTCCTCTTTCTGGCCGGGAGGTGTCTGGACTGGATTACCGAGAAATTATAAACCAGGCACAGCTGGCTCACCTACTCTATTTCAGATCGGACCTTCGTAAGGCGGACCTCTTTTTACCAACCTTTTAGTAGCGGTTGTGGGCAGTGCGACCCACTTTCGCCCGCGGAGTCGAGAACACCCGCGAGGCTGGGAAATTGGCGAAAGCCGAAGGTGCGCTTGCCGAGAAGGGAGAAGAAAAAAAAAAAAAAAAAAAAAAAAAAAAAAAGAAGAACAGAACAAGGTATACAAGCGAGTACCTTGAACTGTGCTTTCTTCTTCAGTCTGACCACATGTTTCTTCACGTGGGATACTCATGCGTTGCCCACACCTCCTTCCTAGAGTAGAATCCCAACCTCAGCTTGGCAGGCGGGCCTGGTCCCGACCTTGGCCTGGGCCTTTCCTCACAGTCGTGGTCCCCACCACCGTCGAGGTATCTTTCCTCAGCGATACAATCCCTAAGCGATGAGTCTTTTTCAAAGCAGAAAGTGCGGTGAATTTTTCTTATACTGTTTAAATCAGGGGAGGCAAGTGATGACCGACGGAGCGCGCCGCTTCCAGTGAAATAGGGTATTCCCAATTGACGCATTGTACCTTCCATGTGAACAATGGTATTACTAAACCCTGACCGATTCCTTCAGGTACCTCCCGCAGCTCTATCGGCCCGGAAATACATCACGCATAACCTCAACTCCAAGTACAACCAGAGTACAACCAGTCCCAGCCCTGCAGGCGTGCTGTGCCCTCTGACAGCCTTGGCCCTACTGCACACCACAACCAAGGTTCCCTTCTTCCCCAGGATTCTCGCCAGATCTGGGTATCTCCATCCAACCCCCTGTGCCAAGCATTAATACCTCGAGTTATTGCCTTCTTCCTTTTCCGCCGGATGATCTGGATGGCCAGGGTGCCACGGACGTCCAGGTTCACCTGCTTCTTCGGCGAAGCACTCGAAATGGTTGCGCGACTCCATGTCCCAGCGACCTGAGTCAGGAGACTGTGTTCCCTGTCCATATGTCCAATATTCAGGGGATCAATGTTCCATCGTTGATGATCTTCATCATGGGTTCAGTAAGTTTGAGACCTATTAAAGTTTTTTGGCTTCAACGTTATCCCTGCCTAGGAATTAACGAGACCCTTGATTGATCTGGCTGACAGACTGTTCAAGGGCATCCATTTGCTGAGTCGGCCAATGCTGTTGGTGGATTATAGTTTGCTTGCCAGCCCACCACCTTTCAAATCAATCCCTCATCGAGATTGGTAGATTGTCGCCATCGTTCTCCCTCTCCTCCTCTCTCGCTCCGAGATCCTCTCGTCGCCCCTCAGTGGGGGCCTTTCGGCACCATTTGCGACAACCGGTTGGCGCGTCAAATTCGTCTACTTTACATCAATGTTTGTCGCCAACACGGCCATTCACTCCAGTATGTTGGGCATGCAGACCCAGGACTGCCAAGCGTTACGAGCGGTACAAGCGTGTCTGCAGCAGAAGGGGCCAATGTGTCTGTACCATCTCCCTTTTGCTCGGCAGTACCTGGCCCAAATATGTGTGTTCCTCTGCAGCGCAGATGTGGAATATCTTCCGTCCAATGCAACCTTGGACCCAACAGCCGGAGACGTGGCTTCTAATTATGGAATCAAATCTGATCACTCCCCCTGCCGCTTCGCCCACCCTTGTTTACCTTGTATCCTTTCCCCCCTGCCAGACCTCTACCGTGCCGCTTGTTTCCCCGCTCGCATTGGTTCTTGCTGTTTCCGCCTGGTCCTTTTTTTTTTTTTTTTTTTTTTTTTTTTTTTCTTTTCGTCCCTCTTCTTTTTCTCCTCCTAGAGCGCAGCGGGGAATTCGCCCTGTCCTTTCCAGCTGCCCCTCCACGTGGAAACCAAGTAATTGATTGATGCTTTGTGTTGGCATGGCGATTTAGTAGTCCTTTGATTAGTGCAATGACCTGGATCTACTCCTCTGTTTGGTAGGATTGAGTTCCTACTTCTTTGCTCTTGATCCCGTCGAAGCTGATGTAGAGGGATAATACAACGACTTCTACCCGGGCCGTTGGAGTATTGTCAAGACAGACGAGTGATCCAGCCCTGAGGATATTGCTGTTGTGCTGCAGAGTCGCATTAGTGCCCTGGGTGAGACTTTAGATCCCTCCCTACCGCCCACCCACCCATTGTCCCAATCTTTCCGCTGTTCTCTCCCAACACACCCTCCGCCTTTTGCCCACTACCGGGATCCAATATACCTTATATTACCCTCGCACCATTTTCGTCCTTTCCTCTCGCGTGAATACTCAGAAAGGCAGCAAGCTTGGCAGCGCCATCTCGAGTCCATTGATTCGTTTCTGCCCCCTTGCTGTGACTGAGCAGCGCCCGCCTTTGCCTTTGGTGGTGCTCTAAACGAGACTCTTTTTATTAACTCTCGATTCTATTCCCCTTTTCTCTCTTCTCTCTTTCATATTGGTCTTTAGTTCGTAAAGTCTGACGAATGTCGGCCCCGGGATCTACCACATTTCATAGGCACTGGCCCAACAACTTTCTAGTTCATCTTGCACGCGTCTGCCAGTTTGCCTCGAGTGGCTTGTCCGGTTGTGTGACACCTACCCTTATACCCTTTGCCGTCCAATCTATCCAGTGCGCTAGTTTGTACTCGAATAGGCTGTGTGGGTGTGAGAGAATTGGCTTTCAGAGGCCGGGTTTACGAGCAGTGCTGTTTGTTTCCTCAGGGTCAAGATTTACTCCGGGATACAGTCCTTGACGAGACCGGGGCTCGCTTCCCTCGCTTCACCCCACCCTCCTCCTGCTCCCCTGTCCCCGGTCCCTTGCCCCTCACGACACCCCTGCTCACAGCCCTTGTCGCCCCTCTCCTCTGCTCCGCTCCACTACTCTATTCCGTACATGCTCCAAGTCTAGCATGGTACGAAGTACACGCTCGGCTGTCGTGGTTAGAGTGTACGAACCATTCTTGCAAAATGTGGACTCGATACACTTTGCACTTCGGACACAAGCGTAAAAAGCCTCGCTCTCTCTCGGCCATTCAGCGACTCTGGAGCACCTGAATGGACCCACCACCCATTGCCTATCTTTTTCTATCTATGGACGGTCTTCCCTTGTTAGTTCCCGTGCGCAGCGCGGATGCGTTGCGTTCCGTCCGCGCGGTTCTTATGGGAGCCTTTTATGGGTATTCAGGCCCCGTCTCACCTCGCACAAGCTATTTGTTAGCGGCGCTTGTATGAACCTGTAGGATGTCTTGGATCCACCCTGCCAACAGGACCCCATCCTCGGTGTTTCTTTCCCATCATTGCCCTTCTGCCAACGGCCCCCAGTGTACACAACAAAGCACGGAATATGAGGGCCGTTTCATCCCATGCCCCAGCCGGGCTAACCTGCATACAGTTCTCTGCTCGCCTCCTCTTTGCTACTTGTAGAGAGTCGAGTACTGACCTCCATGTCCTCGTTTTCTCCTTCGCTCTTAGTACACCTACACCCCCATTTTCCCACCTGCCTGGAAGGCTAATAAAAAGGCACCCCGAGATGACCATAGTACTTCCCCCTCCTCCTCTGCCACCCCCCCTTCTAAGTCGCATTTGCCGTAGCTGGCTGTTGCCATGCGACATCAATACATATCATCTCTCCTCAGCTTTTCGATCCCGGGCTTGCACCCCTTCCCGCCCCGTCGTTCTTCCTACCGCGTTAGTGCCCGAGTGCCATAGAAGAACTTTAGTGGTTTTTTTTATTTCTTTTCTTCTCCCCCCCCTTCTCCCTGTACCATTCCATGTTGTATTGTATAGATGTATACACGCATAATTTTGGAATGGGGTCCATCTGTACTTGGGCATAACCTGCACATCAGCCTACGATAGCATCAGTCTGGTACCTGTCTAGAGAGAAGCATGTTTGTTAAATGCCACTCCTACCACCCACACGCACACACACAAAACACACACACACCCTCCCCCCTTCTTGATTTTTTTTTTCTTCTCACGCCCTTCTTTCTTTATCAATCCTAAGTTTCCTACTTCTTCCCACCCCATATCTGACATGCATCTCCCCATCCCCGACCCAATTCGCGACCACCTTAAACGTCGGCTTTCCCAACTTACATCTTGAGCTCTCTCTGTTTTCCTAGACGAAGCCTTCTTCGCATCGGGGCTGTGTGCGTTGCTAACTTTGGTGACCTCTCACCCCTAACGAACCCCTGAGGTGTTGCCACTTCTTAGCACGCCTGCGTTCGGCATCTTCCCTCTCCGGACCTGGCCCCGTCTTGTACGAACTTACAAGCCGAGCCTAGTGTTCCATACTCTACGCTGCTTCGACAGCTCAGCCTCTTTCCCCTGTCGAATCATGTCATTTTGAGCCGCAAGCCATGGCAAGTATCAAATCGATCATGAACGTTGACGATGACCAGTCGGAGCCCCAAGTGAATAAAAGGGACCATGATCCTACCTCCTCAAACCCGAGGATCCCCATGCCTCCCCACACATCCAACATGTCAAGCCAATCCTCCTCAAGCAACTCCGCAGCCAGCCATCCTCGACATTCTCTTCATCCTTCTTCTCACCAACACTATCACCACCCGCAACCGCATCACCCACTCTATCTCGACAACCGCTACCCTCATCCTTCTCACGGTCACGGTCACGACCGGAGGACGACTCCGCTGGCGCAACACCCCAGCCCCTCCTCCCCGGAGAACTTCTCGCCCGCGTCGTCGTCTTCGTTAGTGTCGTCGAGCCACCAGCAGGCCACGAGTAACCCCGGCTATCGAGGGAGCAACACGCCAGACCCAATGGACCAGCACGGCTACTCCTATGGTTACCACGGCGCGTCGTCGTCGTCTTCCTCCCTACCGCCTCCACCGCCACAGCTTTCGGTCCATTCCTCGTCCTCGTCCTCCACCGCCAATGCTGCGGGGTCTAGCCCGAAACCCTTCACGAACAATGCTGGTGGAAATCCTCAGATACCGGTAAAGTATACGCCGGTTACTCATCGCGTCAGCAAGGCGTTAAAGGGTCTTCCTGTTCACATATGCAATGATTGCGTTCCACCAAGGGTTAGTCAAAAGAGGGCGCCTTGGCAGTTTGGCTTTCTCCTATGAACTGCTGGCTGGGCTAGAAGCTTCTACTACCTTTGAAAAGAAAGTACCGATTCGCTAACTTGCACTATTTTCCATAGACGTTTTCCAGGAACGAACACCTCAAGTACGTATGCCAAGAAGTGTCGCCGTTTGACAGAGCGCGAGAGAGACAGAGAGAACGGCCCCAGTGCTAATATCACTCGATAGGCGTCACCAGCTGAGTCACAAGACCCCGAGCCACGAGTGCAAGATACCCGGCTGTGGCAAGAAATTCCATCGCAAGGATCTCTTGGATCGCCATGAGCAGAAGCAGTAAGTAGAAAGGCAAAAATAACACCCATATCTCGCTTCTCCCAGCGAGATCCCTATCCGTGTGTGTGGTTCTGTGAGAGCTTACCGATTGACAAGTCTAAAGTGAGCAGGACAGGCAGATGAGCATGAGGCGTGGAAGCCTGTTCTCTGCTGGCCGCCGTCCCCCGCATTCCACTTCTGATTCTGGCGCCGGGATAATATCTGCACCGAGGCACTCGCCGTTCCCTCCTATGCCTGACTGTGTTTCTCGGAGATTCGAAAACCCAAGTCCTGGCCTGTATGATAGCTCGTCGGCTCCGATTGGAACCTCCCGTCGCAACTGCACCGCCTTCAGAACCAGCACGACCACCCCTCCTGGCAGCATCGAACCATCTACTCCTATTTCTCCCACCGGCAGCAGTAGCCGTGCTGATTTTTACGGCCGACCGCTGTCCCAGGGACACGGGCAATGCTTTGGTACTAATAACTATGTTTTTTCGGCCCCTTTGTCTCACCAGTCGCCTGTCGTCCAACACCAACAAATCCTTAGCCCACAAGAGAACCTGATGAATCTTGGCGGCTATTACAGCAACCAAGCACCTCGGCGACCCAGCCTGCAGCTTAGTTTCCTAACGCCCTCGGACAATCATAATAACCATACCAACTTCGTCGCGGCTCACGATGGGTCCGGAATCCCATCATCGGCCTCTAGCAGCTACTCGACAGGATCAGACCTTACTCGCAGCAACCGCTCAACTGCTCGGTCATCAAGCGTTGACTGGGTCGACGAGTCAGGGTTTTTGTCTCCCTCCCCGATGCCGGCGAACCACGGCGGTAACGGTCCAGTTGAGTTGCTCAGCCCTATCAGTTTGGACACGCCGGTACCTACCACTTCTATTTCGTCCACATCGGCGGCGGTTTCTATTGACACTCTGGAATACCAGTCCCCGCTCTCTTATACATCCCCCCGAGGAATCCCGAGGGCTTCTGGAAGCACCGTGTACAACTCGCTCGAAAACATGCCTTTGAGCAGTGCGTATACGGAAAATCCGGCCCTTGCCAACCGGCGCCAGCAGCATGGAGAGCAGCAGCAGCAGCAGCAGCAGCAGCGGGAGCACATGGATTCCCTGGTTTGTCAACCCCCGCCCAGAAGCCACCCTCGCTCATTCTCGCTGTTCTCCAACTGACATTTCAGTCTTCGAGGAGGCGGCCCTTTCCCAGAATGGACGGATAAGATCCCCTCCCTGCACATTCTGCCTGAACGTGACGATGGACTGTCACACTATCCCAGAGGAGGAACATATTTATCCAAGCATCGAGTCGCCAACAAGCGTGGCTGTCCCATCTTGATCGTCAGGGATGGCCAGCTTTCTCAACAAGGTCTGGCTATGCGGTGCTACGAATGGATTGAAGTTGCCTGACCGACCTGTGCGAGTGCTGTGTTCATGCCCATTCTTTCTGTGGAGGCGCCGGGGATTGTTTGATTGCTGTTGCCATTGCGGTAAGTTAAATTATTCGAAACCGATTGAAGATGTACATTCATCAGAGCTACCCAAGCTGACTCGTGTGAAGGTTGGTGGGAGCAGGTGTTTCTTTGCCAGCCGCCGTGAAAGAGCCAGTGCGTCTATTTTCTTGGAGTGGATGACTGTGGGTGTGCGACTTTCGTGTCTCGTGCACTTTCAGGCGGAGAACACTGTTCAAACAGTGAGCCAAGAAAGCTCAACCGGCCAGCACTGGTGATGTTGGGGCAGTATCCATGAAGTCAGGATGACTGTCGGATCCTAGTGGGAAGATACGAACAGAACGCGGCACGGGAAAGACCATAAGGACTGTTGCGCCATGCTTCCAAGTGCACTTGGCTCAATCGAGCCGTTTCGGCGGGCTTTTATGATGATGAGGGTGAGCGACGAACCTTGTACAACACATTTCTTTTGGGAACGGTCATGGAGAGGCAATGCTTTTGGTGTCATAAAGATATACAAAGCTGGGGAATCCGGGGACAGGGCCATGGCATCTATAGAAGGGGATCGAAAACCAGGGGGATGCAGGGGGTGTCAGGGTGGGTAGCGGCAATTTCGGTTGGGCGGCAGCGCTTTTCATTCTTTTGTTCTGTTTTGCTCTTTTTGTTCTTCCTCCCTGTTCCTTCGTTTCTTTCTCTTGTTTTTTTCTTCTTATCTTTTGTGCTTTGTACGCATGCTTATTTTGCTAGACCCTTTCCCCATTTTACCCTGTGCGGCACGGACTTTGCTTGGGAGGGTCTCTTTTTTTGCCCTTTTTTATTTTTATTTTATTTTTATTTTATTTTTACATTTCTGATGGATGTATGGATATGGCCTTGATGACCTGTTCCCGTGTGCGTTTACTTTTCTTTACATGTTTTTTTTTCTTCCCCTTCTTTTCTCTTTCGTTTCTCTAATGTCTGTGTACCGAGTTATCAAAAGAACATTTGAGTCTTGTGGGACTTTTGTTCCTGAGCACTTGGCTTATTGGTGTTGATTTACGTCGAGTTGGAGTGAAACCTCCTGTCTTTTTGTGGTTCAGTCGGACAGGCGGGGATAATGGTTGATATTTGGGTCGCTGGAGTTGAGGAGTGAGTGGATGGGTGACGGGGGAATTGTAAAGATAACCGTTTAGTGTAAGAGGACAACGTGCGTCTGTCTCGGCGTCTTCTCTGTTTTACATGGAAATGTTTGGATCTTATCGTTACAAGCATTGTCTCTACTTGTCGAGTATCTCTGTCTCCGAGTTCGTTGAAGCAAACTGTGGCTTTCACCGAAGGATCCGGCGGAGTCGAGGATAACGGCAACGGGCGAGTGGTTTGCGGGGAACGCACATACCGACGCAATGGATCGATCTGATTTGACGTTTGTGACAGGAACCTTTTTCCGATTCGGACGTCACGGAAGCAAGCTTTCTTCCCACCGCTTCCTCTGCATCAAAATCAGGAACTGGATTACCAATCAAGAATAGCGAATAACTCAAAGCTACCGCCGCAACATTGTTCCGAGCTGCCGTCCTTGGCGAAGTTGGGACACCACTGGGCAGCCAAATAAAGCTGCATTTCTAAGTTGCTCTCAACTGCCGCCTTGTCGAATTCCTCTGTCTCTCTCTTTATCAGCCTACCCTCCGTTTCTTCACATTTTTCATTTCCTTCTCCCTAAATCCCCCAGTCTTTTCCACTTCTAACTATCCACGCAACATGCGCGTCTACCCTTGTAAATGACGTGATTTGATTAAGCTCTTCGTCCCTGCCGATTGCGAGGCTCGAGTCTTACCACTTTTGGGGCATATCGGCGGCGATCTCGAGTTGTTTTGGACTCAGCGCCGATTCGGTTTGCTCGGGGGAGAACGTGCGTGGGGGGAAAAATAGGGCCTCGCATGCGAGCTTCTTACATAGTTTGAAGGAATCGATCTCGGTCTTATTCATTTTCTTAGTCTACTTCCTCTCACCCTCCTATGGTGGGATGTATATATATTCAAACCAGGGAATTCTCGCGAGTTTGACATCTCACCCACTCCCGGGGAAGGATCGGAGGAAATGGCTGCGGAAAGCCATCCCTCCATAACACTCCGCGACGCCGAATCCGAGTCCTCCGCACCCTCGCCCACCTCAGAAGAAACCCCCCTCCTGAGCAGCGCGAGCTCCACGACGCTCCGTGACAGCATGTACGCCGCCCACCCCCCAAACGGCGGCGCCTCCCAACCCCCCGGCTTCCGCCTCACGGGCCGACCCAACTCCCCTCCACCCTCGCCGCCAGAAGAAGAAGAAGAAGAATCATCCGGAGGCATCCGCGTAGTATCCATATCCCGCTGGCGCGCCCTCACCATCACCCTCAACACATGGCTCCTCCTCTTCCTCCAAGCCTCCAACATGTCCGGCATGACAATGACCCAATCCACCATCGCCGCTTCCCTAAACGCCTACTCCTCCGCCATGTGGTTCACCACGTCGTACCTCATCGCCGCGTCGGCGACCTCCCCGCTCCTGGGCCGTCTGTGCACCATCTTCCCACCGCGCGATCTCGTGCTGCCTTGTTCTTTTCTCACCGCCGCGGGTTGTCTCGTTTCTTCGAGGGCTGAGACTTTCGCGCAGTTTGTGGCGGGGAGGGTTATCATGGGGGCCGGGGCTGCGGGGGCCATGACGCTGGCAGTTGTGTTTGTGTTGGGGTTGGTGGGGAGGAGGAGGAGGGGGTTGTTTATTGGGTTGGTGAATGTGGGGTTTACGGTTGGGCTGTCGTTTGGGGCGGTGGTTTTCGGGGCTGTGGAGCCGGTTATTGGATGGGTATTGCTTTTTTCCTCTCTCTCACTCTCTGTCACGTCGACATGCTAATCATATATTCTGTGCAGAGGGCGTTGTTTTGGACTCAGGCGCCGCTTGCTGCGCTGGCGGGGCTTGGGATCTTCCTCGCCCTTCCGCCGCACGTTGGCGTCGATGAACGGGAACGGTCTAAGGCCGGATCTTTCTGGGCAAAGGCACGCAAGATAGATTACCTGGGAGCTACAATTTTGGTAAGTTTTCTTCTATTCATTCCATGCTCTTCAGAAATTTATTCTGGGACACTCTCTTAACAGCAGGGATATTATAGACCATCGCTATCGTGCTCTTCCTCTACGGCCTCGCCGGAGAAATCCAGCCAAAGCCCATCCTCCTCTCCGTCGTGGCCCTGGCCGCCTTCCTCTTCGTTGAGTACTACGTCGCAGCAGACCCAATCATCCCCGTCAAGGTCCTCTCCTCGCGAGGCGTCCTGCTTTCCTGCCTAGCACAGCTCGGCTTCATGTCCGCCCGCTGGACCCTCTTGTACTACGCGCCCGTATTCATGCTTGCGGTGCAGGGCTACTCACCCCCCGCCGCCGGCTCGATCCTCGTCGCCACCAACTTTGGCTTCGGCTCGGGAGGTGTCTTAGTGGGCTGGCTACACATTCGCCGCGGGGGAAGTTTCTGGCTCCCTTCGGCGATTAGTCTGGCCGTCTTTGCGGCTACGCTTTACCTTCTCTCCCTTGTGGGATATCCTAACACGCCGGCGGCGGTGATGGCGCTGACCGTGCTGTTGAACGGATTGGCCACGGGAGCGACCCTCAACTACACGCTCGCGCACATTCTACACCTTAGCCACGACGGGACGCAGTTCATCACGACGAGCCTCATGGGCACGGTGCGCGGTTTCGGCGGAAGTTTCGGCACGGCTATCGGCGGGGGCATCTTCTACCGACTGCTCCGCGCGGCCTTGGAAAAAGGATATGCGAATCTCGACGGCGGGCTGACGGAGGAGAGGACCGAGCTCGTCCGGAAGTTGTTGGGTAGTCCCAACCACGTCTTCTCGGGGGGCCTTGGACCCGAGGAGCAGAAGGTAGCGATCGAAGGGTATGCAGGTGCGTCGAGGGCGACGTGGGCGGCGGCGGCCGGGTTGGGGGTGTTGGTTGTGCTTGTTCAACTGGGAACGGGGTGGACGAGTCCTGAGGAGGGGAAGGAGGCGGTTGTGGATGATGAGGTTCGCGCAGCGCTGTTGGAGAATGAGGGCGTGGGGGAGGCATGAACGCAAATCGGGTACAAAATGGTGGATCAGGCAGAGGTTGTTATAGGGTGTGACATGTAAACGTGACGGATATACCCCTTTCACAGTGAGTAGAATTCGGAGAACTCAGCTTTTTTCCCCTTTACCCAGGCCATCTTGGGCGTTAGATAATGAAGGAGGCCCAGCCCTGCGTTTGTCCCTGAGATCCTAGTCGTTTACTGGGCTCGGTAGACCCCGCTGTCAAGACAGATTTCCCACCCCTCGACTGGGAAAGGAAAGCTGAAACGGCCATTGCTGTCAAAATCGCGTTAGAAGCCCGACATATCTCCTTGTGATATGCATCATCCCGCATTGCGACAAGATCTCCTTTCACAGCTGGGAAACGCCCAAGGGACTGGGATAAATCGAAAACAGCCAAAAGTCTCCGCTGATCAAAGTTTCAAGGTTGAGCAGGTTACAGATTCATCCCATCTCACAATCTCAGTCCAGGCCGTCGATCCTGCTTTAGCCAGCGATCCCATCTCATCTTGGTTTTTTTCGTTCTTCTCTCTTTTTCCCAGGACATCCCGCGGGATAAGGCGTACGCGTCATGGCGGGTGCGGGAATCGGGCGCATTTCAGGCTGAAGTCGAGAAGGAAAGAGGGAAAAAAAAAAAAAAAAAAAAAAAAAAAAAAAAGTGAAGGCGAGGCGGCAAGGAGACTTTGGAGTTGGGGCACGGGTTTGGGGGTTGAAAAGATGAATGAGCACAGCGACATGACCATTATCGCGTGGTATCGATCGTCATTTTATTATATTGATGATGCTTTGTCTGAGACGAGGTACTGAGCGGGTTGATGCTGGCTTGTTGAAAGCTCTCGGGGGTGGAGCTAGATTTGACTCGATCGAGGCCAATTGTATTAGTTAAACATCTGGTACGTCGTATCAATGGGCCATGACCGAATTTGCGAGATGCGAGTGATGGAATTCCGACTAGATGACCATCATCGTCAAACATTTTCTTGAGAGTTGAGCTGAGGAAAAGGAAATCTGGAAAGTTGTCTGGTGTTGTTGAAATATCTGGACTGCGATTGGAGGAGAAACTGAAATTCTTAGTCATGGTTCTGGACGGAGGAATTTAGCATTGGTGGGCTCGGGAAAGGCCGCAAATCATTGGGAAGTTGGGAACTTGAAGTGACACCGGAAGGATTTGGCCCTTTAGTGGGGGAAGGTGTGGCCGAGTGTACGCAGTAGTGGGAGGTTGTTAGTGGGAAGAGGCACCGAGAAAGAGTACATCAATTACAAGGGTACGCTGGCCAGGCAGTGTAGGGTATAGTTGAACATGTGAGCAAGTTTCTGGTGAGGCGCCACTAAATGGGCACTGTCGAGGTACATTCGCGAGCTACAAGCACATGCTCGATTTCCAACATTGAACCCTGCAGGGATCCAAACTACAGGGCGCTATTACGGGGCCACCTTTCGAGCAAACACACTGAGAAACCCACCAAGGGAAGGAAGACTAAACATATTGAGATCAGATGGTGGTTGTTGGTTGTTTGGTTTCCGGGACCTCCTGTGATGTCGATCACCCCAAGACCTGGAACACTGACACAATTCAGGACTATCACTGTGAGCAAGGCAGAAAAGTAGGCACCCCTGGTCCTGGTCGATCCCTCAGTTGGGGGGGCAGAGAGATTTGTGGTGGAATTTATTAGTCCACATCCCCAGCCGAACTCTTCCACCAACGACAAGTCGCTTGAAACGAAACATCTAGAGAGATAAGAGGAAAACGTTGCATAACTTCCGTAATACGAGGGTCAGAAGCCTGCTTTATTCACAAAAGTGGCCAGAACTCGGCCAATTCGAGAGTGTCGGAATACCGACACGGTCATGTTTGGTTGTGTTAGTCCAGGCCTTCCCTGGTGCTAGTCCCTTGGCGGCTCGCACCTGCTTGGCTTGTGCGGAGCTGCACTAAACTGCTTTTGGACCCACTGAACACGAAAACCCAGAAAGTTTGGCCAAAAATCCTCCGAAGGCAACTGCAACTGTCGCGCTCTGCACTCGCCTCATACGAAGTAATATCTCGAGTCCTTCTGCTTGTTCTGCTTGGGATTCTGCTGCTGCATAAGATGTGCATTCAAGATAAGCGATCCAGGAAACAGCCTTGGACCTCGATCCTTCCAACGTCCCCTGTGAACCATGTGATGTGAGTGCTGAGGCTTGCAAGTATCAAAAGATGTATATAAGGCAATCGCGACTGGTGCGCTTGGCTTCTCGGTCCCTTGAATCTTCTCCGATTAACCTCTTTAGATGAGGGGGACTAGGATCACGACCAAATACTCTCCAGTGCCCTCGCTTGATAGGCCTCTTTCGCCCACTTCCAGCTGCCATCCATCATACAGCAGATTCATCAACGCCGTTTGAATCAGATGGTCGGTACCAGCGTCGTTGTTACTGCAAGTCTTCTCTTGACCCGCCTCCTAAGAACATGTTCGTCGCACTTCAACTGCAACAACCGCAACATCCAGCTTCCTGTCATCAACAAAGAGAGAAAGCAATAATACCAAGACGATGACGAAGAAATGACTGTATTCAGTTAAATGGGGACGGCAGTGGTTGACAGTTTCCGCTAGAAATATTCATCCTCTTTTCTCCCGCCCTGCCGAAGGAACTTCGGCAAGTGATGGAGCCTTGTTAATGTATTTCATAGCGAGCAAGCCGCGTCTCTTTTCCCCTTCTCTAGGATTACGCTCACGTTTTACTGTCACTACTCTCGCTCTCACTCTCGCTACTTCTCAGGTCTTATCCTCATTCCCACGACTTACCTGGTATTTTGCTTGTTCCGACTGCCCAAAGTTCGCATAGTCTCATATATATTTTTTCTACCCGTCAGAGTCGTTTGGGACCATTCATGGGTTTGAAAGACGTGGTGCTGAAGTAAGCCGGGATATTCGGCCAAGCCGCATCCGGAGAAATCGTCGGCATTCGCCTGCAGGGCCAAGGTGTTCATCACCGAGATTGTTTTGCCTGACAGCCTTCAAGGCTCATCATTTCAGTTTTCCACGGCATCGTACATCGCTAATACAACACAAGAGGCAGGGGGTCCTTGGCTGCAAGGCTGCACCATCGGAACAGCCGCGAAACAAAAAAAGGATCATCCCAACCAGACGAAGATCAGGCATTGTGCGGGTTCGGACGTCATTCCCGAATAGTGAAGGAATAGACGAGTCGAAGTCTTAATGCACCACTTAGTGCTAATCTACTACCAACACCCCCAACAACCTGGCCATACTATTCGCCCGGGTCTACCACCGCCCCTCTCTCGAGATCGTGCTCCAAGTCCTGTCGGCTCCTCCCACCCCACTTGCGGTCCCTTTTAACCCGTTTGACAGCGCCAGGCGAAATAAACTTTTGCACTACCCCGTCTTTGGCGCGTCAGCAAATAACCGCACACTATTTTTCGGATCGCCGGGCTGGGGGTGTACACTCAACTACGAAGTAACGGTTATACCACTGCCTGAGGTGCTTACATCTATTGGTGCGGTGCCCGACGGCGCATCAAATCAAGTCGCATACTGATCAGCGACTCCTGCCTTTGCTCGACCCTGCCTACCATTCTTCGAGCTCTCGCAACTCTCGTGTGAGTTCGCCCGGTTCCAAGATAGATCTGTCTCGCTTGTCGTACCAGCCCTGGTTTAGGAAGCTGGTGGTATTAAACGAACGACCAGCTGTCATTCTTGCCGTCGTGTTGACACCATCTCCAAGCCTGATCACCACCGGGATTTCTAAGTGTGCATCAAAGTACCTTTAAACACTTTCCAGCCGGCCGATTACTTATAGAACTCTGTAGCCGAATCTCGCATTTCATCCTGAAGACAAATCCTTTCCCCCACGTAACACATTAACCCTCACCAACCGTCGTCCCGATCTCGTCGGTTTATTCCACCGAAATATTACGATCTCATGCTCAACACTGGTGGTGGCTGTTTTGCTTTCAGCAACACTTCCGCGACCGGCAAACCTACTTCTCACTTATCCTTTCCTCATATTCTTTTTCTCATCCTCTCTCATTGCCTCGAACGAGTGACAAGCTACCAGATAGGTATCCCTCTCGGCGTCCCGTTAAGACAGGAGCCCACTAAAATCCCCGTATCCGATAACTTGTTTTACCTTCATCCGCCAACCCCGCATACGATAAACGGAAGTAACCTCGCCACTAGCTTCCTCTTTTCCTTTGGTCGTTTTTTGGAAGAAGGGTTGCACTGCTTTATACGGGCAGAGTAGTACCAGGAAGCAGACGACCCCCTCAAAGTGCGCTTGTTGAAATATTCTCGGTCTCGAGTGGCAGCTTTAAGCGCATCGACTCAGACCGGCCAAGAAGCCGCCAAGCTGGACAATGGCGGCGGTTGAACCGTTAGGCACCAGCCCTGCGCCGGCGCCGGCGCCACCGATTCCCCCGATTCCATCGAACGGCATCGCTTCTAATGGAAATGGAAGTGGGACTGCCGTTGACGTTCACGCCGTAGCCTCGGAAGTTACGCAGCATCGCCGGCAGTCCGTTAGCCACACGCAACGGGGAGACACGCGCATCGTGGTCATCGTTCACAACCCCGGCCAGGACAAGGTTGTATCCGTTTTTGCCAACGTGCTAGGCAGACCTTTCCGGTTAAAGCGCGCCTTTGAAGAAGTTGATCCCATGGACCAGGGTCATGTCATTGGCATTCTAGACGAGGAGGCCAAACGAGACGTCGCCGCGCGAAATCAGAATCTCATTGTGGCAATAAACGCTCACTGTGCGGACAGCGGGAAGCCGCCAGATACTCACCTCTCATCGACCTGCGACTACGAGTTCCTTTACACCGAATCCCCCTTTTATCGCCGAGACCTGGCGAGATTTATCTCTTTTACCTTGGGCCAGATTAGTCCTCACGAATCATTGATGGCAAAGCCGCGAACTTACTTTATCTCCACCACATTCCCCGATGTCCGTGCCGCCTTACCGAACCTCGACATCCTCACCGTCGGCGCCGATGCTGTTGAGATCCGAGTGGATTTGCTCAAAGAACCCCTTGGCGATGGCAAATTTGCCGCTATCCCAAGTCTGGATTATGTTGGTAGGCAGGTGATGCTTCTCCGCCAAACGACCGAACTCCCCATCATTTTCACGACAAGATGTACCAACGAGAATGGTCGGTTCCCCATGGACAACCCCGATCTGTACTTCGAATACTTGTACCGGGCGATCCAATGGGGTGTGGAGTACATTGATGTCGAGCTGTGGCTCCCTGAAGGGATCAGGAAAAGGTTGTGGGATCTTAAGGGCAACAGCCGCATCATGTCGGCCTTTCACGACTTCTCCGGTACCTTCAAATGGCCATCGCTCCACGCCCAAGAGATTTTCCTCGAGTCCTGCAAATACGCCCACATTATCAAGATGATTGCCATAATCAACGACCATAATGAGAACTTTGAGCTAGAGTACTTTAGATCCAAGATCCGAGCCGACTTCCCGGAAGCCCCGCCCCTATCCGCGGTGAACATGGGCGAGACTGGTCAGTTCTCGCGTACGCTCAACAAAGTCTTCACGCCCATCACCCACCCCTTGCTTCCCATCATCGCCGCCCCGGGTCAGATGAGCGCGGCTGAAATAAACGCCGCCCTTTCGCTGCTTGGCCAACTGCCCAAAAAGAGCATGTACGGCATTCATAGCAGTGTCTCCGCCCGCATAGCCACTCCCCAGGCACCCTTTTATGAAAAGTGCTTCAACGAGCTCGGTCTCCCTCATCACTTTGCCGTCGTGGAACGCCACCAAAGCAATCCAGGTGGTTTGGATGGTTGGTGTAATCAGCGAAATTTCGGAGGTGCATACCTGACACCACCTGTTTCACATCATACTCTTACCAAGCAGAGTCCTTTCTTTTCGTCTTTGAACAACGGAGCAGGACCTATACTTACCGAAGCTGCCCGAGCCATTGGTATGGTAGATACGATTGTCGTCCACTCTTCATCGGCGTCAACATCCTCATCCTCCTCTTCATCCACATCGCCACCTAACACCGCTTCGACCGGATCTAGCTCACGCCCAACTCGCGATTCAACTATGACATCCCTCAACAACCACCTTAGTCAAGGCCTCCCACGAGACGCGTCCGTAGTCCTCGACAACTCCACTTGGCGTGGTATCCTCAACAGTCTCACTCGCGATTTTTCCCCATCCGCCTACTTTGGCCGACCTGCCGTCGTTCTGGCCTCATCACCAGACGACGCAGCATCGGCCCTCTTTGCTCTCAAGGCCCTCAACGTGTCCAAGGTTTACACTGTAGGTTTCAAAACGCCTCCCACCCTGACACACGATGGGAGCCCCATCGAACCGTTCAACAGCCTCGAGTCTCTTCAACGCGCCCGTTCAGATACCACTGCTCCGTTTGTTGTCGTGTCAGCTCTCCCAGCAGATAAAGCAGCGCTCGTGAGCATGCTCCTCCGCGTGTTCGCCAGTCAAAAGGGCCGGAAGGTGTTTCTTGACCTCGCGGACGGCGCGACAAAAACGGCCGGAATAGCCTCTGACCTAGGATTCGCGCCGTACGGGGCGGAGGATGTCGTGGCTTTCACCACCGTCCAGACGATACGAGGCCTGGTGGGCCAGAATGTGCCGTATAGCTTTGTGAGATTGGCCGGAGGAAGGGGCCTTTATTGAGACTTCCGCGAAGCCTATTCTTTTAGGGAGCTCGGTTAGCAAAACGAACATGAGGGTGGATGGGGGAAGGAACACGCCGGAACAGTCAATGGCATTTCGGCGGCTTGACCAGCGAACCTAGAGCGAAGACGACCACAGAAGAAGTGAAATCTTGGGTTGCTCTATATCAGGAGGAGGGATTTGGATCTGCTTTTTACACACCGACTCTATACGCCACCCACGCCTCATATGCCTCGAGACCTAGAAACAGTTACATCTCGACATGGCTGGTGCTTGTCTTCGGAAGGGGAGGCAACTTCCACATAGATGAGAGGGCTACTCACCTGATACCCCGGCATCTTTTCCATAACCTTTTTGGACAATTATGTACTCCTTGAGTGTCATGTAAACTTTGATTGATGTATTCTCATACACTTTCTTTTTTACCTTTCTTTTCCAGTTTTGCATCAAAAAAGAACTAGTCATGGTGATGGCGGTGGGGCAAGGGAGGGGAACGGGACTGGGAGAGGAAAGGGGGAATGTGTGGATTATTCTGTTACCAAGACGGGTTTCTACCTGCGTGGTGGAATTTCTCATGAAGATGTACAAGGCTTTATATGGATTTTGCATACATTCGACAGATACTTTAGCCCCTGACCAAGTTTCCAGGAACGCCGATATGCCTCCTCCCGCCGCTTGGAGCCTGTTGAGAACATGGGCAATGTCGAGCATGCTTGTGCTCCCCTGGAACCTCCACTTCCCCGAGGGTATTTGGCGAAAAGAGATGTCCTTTACACGTTATCACACCTATTTTGTTTTCCAAAACTATACACTAGGCGAAGACCGTTTCGTGCCTTCAAAGAATCCAGCAGATGGAGTCTTGAACACGATTGAAAGATACGCCGAAGTCCAGCAGCGTCACGTAGCAAAGGGCGTCAAAGCCCACGATGGCTAGCGAGTAAGGTCTTGGAAGACTCATGGCCTACATATGGGAACGCGAAGCAACGGAGAAAGGAGAGAAGGCGATGACAGAGCCCAGAATCTATGGGCCTTCCAAGTTTGGGCGCCAGTATGGTTGACCGAAAATCGGGAGGAGGTTATTCTCCACCGCCTGTTGACTGCGCCACAGAAGGGAGTGCCAAAGCGGGATCGGATGTCGATGAGGAACCTGCTACAGATGCTCCTGGCGAGCTCGATCCTTGGCTTTGTGCGGAACCGGCGGCTCGGGGACTGGAGGCATCGGCTCTGGCCCGATTCTCTTCGAGTCGCTTCGCCCGAAGTCCTTGCTGCGTCTTCTGATCTTCGGCGCTGCGCTTTTTAAACCACAACACTTGTAGCTCCTCTGCCGACCTGATCACTTTCCTTGCGACATGCCATACTTCTGGATGGTTGTATATGAAGTCGTGTGACAGGAGCACGGCTTGACACAGCCCGTACACAACGTAGACCCATATCTTGGTGCCACATCTCACACCCTTGCTGTCCTTCCATCGCATCTTAACCTGAGCTTTTCCTGCTATGCGTAGGGTCAGGTTCAGGGCGGCTGTGTGTACTTCTCGTTCTTCTTCATCCTCTTCGATGTCGAGCTGAAGTTCTCGGGCGAGCGAAACCGAGATCGCACAGGCAGTCGCGCCCGTGTCAAGAAGGGCGTCTTTCTCCAAGCGCGGAGCGGTCCCATTTGCTGCTTCAAGGGACAAGGCCAGGAAGCTTAGAGTTGCTGCTTCGTCCTCCCTCCCGGCCTAGCCCGTGGTCGACGTGTCAGCGCTGGGCGAGCGATGCACTCAATACAACTGTACTGATCTGATTTGCTTACCTCTGTTTCAACACTGTATAAACTAAATGCGTCGTCGACGCCCACCGGATCGGTGATTTCACCAGTTGCAATGGCCTCCGCATTTTGAGCGATCACTTGGAGGCAGTGAAACTTCTCGAAAACATCGTTGACGTTCTGTATCGCCTGTCTCGCATACATCCCCTGGCTCGCCTGAATCGACTCGTGAAGCAAGTGCGTTTGTGCTATAAACCGAAAGTCTCGATTGAAGTAGCTCAGATCCTGCAATGCCTGCCGAATCCCTTTCTGCATGAGCGCCCATTTTACCCGCCAAGAGAGCCAAGGGCTGCCTTTTAGTTTTTCAGTGATGACGCGGATTGACTCCTCCAAAGATTTGAGGGTCTCGGGCAGGCTCTGGATATGGTGGACAATCACTTCGTTTCCAAACTCGCCCAGTCTTTGCTTCAAGGCTTCGTTAATTTCTGAGCTTTGCCATTTCGGGTTTGCTGGATCTGAGAGCAACTCATCGATCTCTGCATGTGCGATGGCCTTGTAGAGGAGCACTTCGAGTGTGTCCTGCAAGATGGCACTTTGCGCCTCAAATTCCCTGGCTATCTGATCGGCCTCACGCCAAGCCGGGCCTCCGAGGCTGGCCCAGGACCGTACGATCTGTCGTCCAACGATCACGGGACGTATTATCCCTGCCGTGATAGACACAAGCTCCATGGCATTATTGAAATCCCTTAGACGCTATTCTCAGAGTGCCAAATTGGAGAGAGTAGTAGTTATACCAAATGCTTGACGTCTTTTGGACAGAAGAAGACATAGAATACTAGAGCACAGGGGAGATTGAGCAATGAGCCCAAGGGCTGGCAGTGGGCATCGGGTGCCCGACCCCCTCATATTTCAATAAATTCTCAGACCCAGGGCAGCCCCTCACGTGGCTGGACGTGATTTGGCCATGAATAACACATGGAGGCGCAGCCTGCATGATGTGAACGAGAAGAGGCTCTAGGGACCAGTATCGAAGGCCAAATTCCGCATGTCAGTGAGGCTGAATGCCTCACTATCCTCATGAGCTTCCAGGGTCGCGGCATCGACGAGCCGCTCATCGATATCCCAATGATGGACTCTAAGAAGTCCAATTATACAGCTCTAGCCAGCTTCTTGGGCTCCTACCCGGAGGTATTGGCCATAAGAAGATTTAGAGAGCTGCAGATTAGAAACCTGCTGTTCTATCAAGCTGAGCTCGCACACCTCGAAGCTGAACTCCAGGAAATTGAGAACCAGGATGCGCAAAGGAAATACGACCCATCTGATCGTGCCAACTTCCGATGGACGCCATGTATGGTCAGAGAAAAACCGGCAAAGACGCGGGCGCCAGATTGCGCCGGAGGCTGCCAAAAGCCAGAGGACCCATCGCCGCCGACATCAAGAGAGACAATGAACTCTTCATACCTTGAGAAGGTACTTCAAATCCGCCGCACTCTATCTAGCTACAGTAGGTTATCAAGGAAAGGGATTTGGGAGTTATTGAATCCTGACACTTTGCTAGATGACGCAGTGGAGCAGTACAAGCGGCTTAGCGCTCTCCCGAATCCCAAACGACGCGACATGGCAGCCATACACGAATGGCTCAACGACATGAGCCTTGGGACAGCCTTTCTCGCCGGCGACGTCGAGGACGTTTGGACCGTCGAACTGGGCGATGGCAAAAGCAAGGCAGCAGATGTCTCCGACTTTTATGGCTTCGAAGACCAAGGTGGTCTCGCGTTCCCTATTGGCAGTGCCGTGGCTTGGCTTCATCGACTCTTCTTTCGCTCCAACGGCAGCGCGTCGAGACAACCTCACCACGTTGACACGTCCGTGTATGGCGCGCTTGATCAAGCCATCACAACCGTGGTCGCGAGTGTTCTTCCCGTGTTGCCAATCGTCGTCTTATATTTCGTGAAAGATATGCTGGTGAGGATTGGCCTCATCCTTGTGTTTACGGTGGTTTTCTCTGCGATCCTGGTGGTGGGATTGCAGATTAAGCCACACGCCACTCTGGCCATTACCACGGCGTGCGTATTCTCCTCTTGATCTTTGGCGTAGTGATGCGCTGATATCCCCTTCTAGGATTGCCGCTGTACAGGTCGTGTACGTTGGATCAACGGCAAGTGACGGTAAATCATCGTAGTCGAACGTCGTCTCTTAGCAACCTTCAGGTACTGTGGTTTCCCAGGGCCTTGGCAGAAATTTCAGCACAACCTGGAAGCAGGACTTGGGTCATCTCTGACCTTGGGGGCTCCGTAGGTTTGTCAGAGATTTCCGCGTAATTCTCTTCGGGTATGGCTTTGGGAATATCTGCCGACCCTGGATTACATGCCTAGCGACACCGTCGAGAACTATGCCTAGTCTTATCAGGAAACATCGTGGGACCATAAACGGTGATGGATCTCTGAAGCCACGGAAGCCGTTTCCCTTCTCCGTAGCGTCGGCGTGATCCACTGAGATAACAGTTCTCACAGCGTCCTACTCAATGCTGACCAAGTTTGAAGAGAGGCAAAGACCGGGAACAAGAGAGAGAAGGGAGTCAAGGGGTACTGGAACGCGCCCTTTGGCTAGGACTTAGGGAAGAGAGATGGGGAGTGAGGTTTCGTTGCATCCTAATCTGATGACAAGAGGCATCATAGCGAAGAGAGAAGAAACTCGAGTTCTAGGAAGCAAGAAACACGGTTAATCCTGTAACCCGGCCCGCCTCCTTACAAGCTAACACAACTATCTACTCCGAACATCAAACTGAGTTTTCCAGAAGAGTGGATGTTTTCTTTTTTTTCTCTTAGTGTTGAAATGAAGTTCTGGCCCCAAGTTTTCACACACCCCTCCCTCCTTTGAAGATTCGGGCTGACGTGACAATATGATAAGCTTTCTCCAGGATGCAAGTTCTGCAGGTGTCCGTACGTTGCCATTTCCTGTTCTGTGGGGTGAGTAAGATGAAAAAGGGGCTGGGCTAGAAAAACAAAACCACATCTTCTCCGCGCCATCTCCTCATTTTCGGGAGGGTATTCCGTGTAGTACTACTCCACATGGAACTCCGAGTTCCCAACGTCTCTGGGAATGACGGGAGTGGAGGGAAACGAAGCGGGGGCGTAGTGTGAAGTCGTGGAGAGGGAGGCGGGGAAATGACGGGTGTACGCATATGCAAATGGGCCCATTTTCTTCATTTTCTTTTCGTCTTGTTTCTTTCCTTAGGAGAGAGGGGTGGTAGAAGGTGTTTCGAAGGACAATGCTTCAACGGGCTGGTTGAGATCCGCAAGGTCCAAAGAAGAGTTGAGATTAGATAGAGGCATCATGGGCGGTAAGGCGGCCATTCGGGATGCCAGCGTAAAGGGCTACCACCAAGGGGTGGAGGAGGAGGAATGGATGGAATCAGGGAATGGTATAGATACTAAGAATAGTATCTTGTCAATTGTAGAGAGCGCGACTGATGACCGCCCAGGGGTGTGTGGAGGGATGGAGCTGAAAGAGGAGTTAGCGCAATCATCTCTAGGAGGCAATATATGATTTTCCAAGAGCGCTTTCAATTCCTCTGTTTCCGGGGAGCACTTTACTGTAGGTTCCTCATCATCTCAATTTCCCTCCTCCGCCGGGCCTGGTACATTCCAACCGTGGTAGGCGGTTTCTTGTGGAGTATTTGTGAGAACTTACACTGCACTTGCAGGAGCAATGCGGAGAAAGCAGGTTTGCTTTGAAGTTGTGGGGGGTAGTCTTTAGGGAGAAGTGGAAACTTCAGTTTGTGGCTCCATGATCTCCACACGACGGCGCACATGGTTTCGTGATTGAAAAGAAGACCTCTCCGCCTGTTGTGTGCTGTTCAGGTACAAGTTCCTAGATGCCATCATGAACTGCGGAGAGAGAATTGAAAGCTTCCGGAGGGTGGCGAGCATTCCCGTGAGGTTGCAGGAAGCCGAGGAATGGAACTAAGACGGTTTTGTACCTTGACGTCCTCATCACCTGCATGACCCGATGGCTCTTCTCTTCCCTGCATGGCCAGCGCAGCGGCTAAGATCGAGGAACTATGCGGGGAGTCGGACGAGGCCCGTCTAATTGGTCAGCCGGCTTCTCCGTACTGCTCGTTAGGTCGCCGTACAGCGTGGCAATGACCACGGCCATGAGCTTGTTTTCTCAGGAGTCGACTTTCGGAGATTTGATCCCTCCGAGGTGGTATTCTCGGCATCGTGAGAAAAGCAGAGAGATAGAGAGAGCCGCCACCAGCATGCCAGGGGAGTTTCCAGCGTAACATCATGCTAGGGAAACATGTTCACCACGATCATACGGCAAGATGCAGAGGATGGAAACAAGCCCCTCACGTCAAGTTGACTGGCAGAAACCCAGATAAAAGTAATAAAAAATTAAACAACAAGGCAAGCATCTCGGGAACATCATTCCTCCATGCAGGTGCCCAAACGAGCTTGCTGGTGTAGCAGTAACTGTGGCCTCTCGCAATCCGTGGCGGGTTTTCAAGATTAAGGCTGATCCAAGAATAGAGAAACCCAAGCCTGTGCTCACAGATAACTTCACTCGGAAATAACGGGGCAGGTCGAGGAAGGAATCTAACCAATCTGATCTGCGTTATCCCGGGACTGATAGCCGCAGGTGCCGGCGTGTTGTTGAAGGGGAGGCGAGCACGCGTCATCGGGCCGGTACCTTCTCGCTGGGGGGGTTGGTTTCTGCCGGCGCTGTCTGCCGGCGGATGCAACTGTGTTTCCTGCTTTCTGTTTCCTCTTGAAGATTTTGGAAGACGGGGTAGAGAGAGTTGCACTGTTAAAATTGGTTGTTCAAGGTGACGTTTATGGGTATCATTGGGCCAACAAGAGCGGGAGGACCACGCCACGCTGGTCGAGGTCCCATTCATCATGTGGGGAGGAGGAGCTGGGGCTTAGAGTAGGTGAATGGTTGATCGATAGCCTGTTTTGACGTGGGTTGAAGGTGTTGTCGCATGGCATGAGGAGGGAGGAGAAGGAATCCGGTTGGATAATGAAGAAAAAAGCATGACCCACGTGGAGTAAAGGAGGACGAGGCAGCTAGCAGTCGAAGATACGACGAGATATCCCCTCAGACCAGCGCGTGAATCGACCTATCGAGGAACAAGATGTGCAGTAGTGCATCGTAGGCTATATGAAGAATGCAACATGAACACCCACAGTCCCCGCCTACAGTAGCAGACAATTTCGTACAAAAAAGGCGTGTGTTGGTAGTGGGTTGCGGAGAGATCTGATGATTTGATCATATCAGTTGCTCGCACGCGTGCGGCCAAGCAACTGGAAGAGGAGCAGGTGAGAGAGGGATGTAAACCCGTGTGTCCTTCGGGCCTCCATGTTTGTCCTCACCAAGTTATGATGAAGGCAAGACGTTTGATTGGGTCGACTTCCCCCGGGACTTGCAACGAGGCTGCGGAAACACTTGTTGACGCTGTGCTTCTCACCGAAGACAAGTCGACAGATGATAAGACAAGAAAATGCAGTCCACAGATTGAGCTTGTGAGGAGACCAATGAAGATACCCAAGCTTGTGCGTGCTCCTCCTTATCATTGATGGTGACTTCGATATCTTCTTAGATGTAATAATGAGGCTCACCGGTTTCTAAATTAACATCTCGGAGCATGCTTCAATGATACTCGCTTAAGTATCCTACCCTTGGGGGCAATTTACATCTCCACGGCCATAAATAGATCGAGACAGTCCGCGTGGAGACTAGGAATTGTTGCTAACCACTCCAGCGGATAGTTCTTAAAGTAGTGATATGGACAGGGCTCCAAGGTCACACCTACTATGAGCGGGAGGTAAATTGCAAATTACACTGAACTCATCTTACCACCCGCAAATGCCGTCTCGGGCAAACGGGTGCTATTGATAGGGGTCGGTGGCGTCGGTGAGGGCCGAGAAAAAGAGATTGCATAAGCGGCTTCCCGGAGCTCAAGCCGGGATCGCGTTGTCGACGGTCCATGTAGGGCTCCGCTCCTGTCAATTTCTTCCTCGTCCACCCCGAGTTGAGATTGCGTTTGCGTCGAGGCACGGGCCAGGAGAGGTGGAGAGGGCAGTCAGGACCTCATCGAGCGAAGAAAAATAGCCCCGCCTCACAAGTCCCACTCTAACTTGAAAGGGTTTGAGTCAGGGTCATCAGAGTTAGCATAGTTAGCATAGCGCATCTCGATGGAGGGAGAGCAGAACCATAAAAAGAGAGCGCCACATGCGGAGCCGAGATGCGAGAGATAGAGAAGATGGCAAAGGAACTGTCCGTCATGCGGGAGTTGGCGTTCCCCGCCCATTCCCATCACCAGACGTAGCTCCAAGTCGACATGTGGAGTAGCGCTCACAAAAAGGCCAAACGACACACCCCCTCCCTTTCCAGGCCCTACAAGTACTTCGTACTTTGCCAAGATCAGGAAGCCCATGGTTCAGTGTTGTCCACTACATTTTCCATCACACGTCAAGATTGCTGTCGTCTATTGCCCTATTTCTGATCAGTAGTGCCTATGCATCTCAACAAAGTATAACAAACAGCCAACGACCCTACCATGTACTTTTAGGCTTCCCCTTGCAGTACCATTGTTCGCGTGCAGCCAGGATCCCTGGCCGGTACCTTCGCCTCAGAGCTAAGCTCACTGGAGTCGAGTCGAAGCTTGGCCGGTCAAGGGAGGCATCGAACCATGCTTAAGCAAATGGATGACGAATGTGGTTCTTCGTAAGATCATTTTGATTTTGATTAGCCTCTGCACCGCTACACTGGTTCAATTGATATCCTCAATGCTATCGAAATAGATGGGATGAACCTGATTTGAAGGAACCAAGCTTGACTATTTGGTGGAAATCCGAGAATAGGGAGTTTTGACCGTTGATGAGAGGGTGTTAAAGACGTAATGACCAATGCGCACTTGGAACACCATGGCTCTTGGGTCGGCGCATGCACGTCGATCATTTCGTCGAATCTCTCGATCTTTCCTCCTTTCTTGTCTCTCGAGCCTGTAACCTCCATGATCAGAAATCTTCATGAGGAAGGCAAATGAAGGTTGCAAGATCTGGGAGAGAGAACTTACGTTGTAGATTGGGCCAATGAGAGACGTTCCCGCTCATCCGACGTCGACCCTTAACGAGGACGTGGCGAGGGGCGTGTGCGGTGGTTGTTCATGGGTAGCAT